TGAACTAAGAATTTAAAACTTATTTCTCAAAGTAATTTGAGGAGAAATAACTAACTTGCCAAAAGAACTCTCCAATTATGTTCGCATCACTGCAAGTAAGACCTAAAATCCTCAAGTCAAACTCTTGCAAGTTTGGAGCTGATTGTCCAAAATCGTTCCACTATTAGATGACTATTTTGATAATATTCCATCTCACTTTAGTGTAAAGATCATGGTCCATTTGGATCCAGTTTTTCCTGTACATTTAATTGAGTTTACTATACTGTTCAGGAGCGTGAGAGGGATCACTTTTCCCAGTTTATAACTGAAGGATTTACATCTTATTGCAAGAGGAAAAGAAGAGATAAGGTTTGGTGTAGTTTAGATTGTTATTATTATGTTCTAATTCTATAACCTTTTCCTTCAATTTTGGTGCTTGGTGATGGAATGGGGTTATTTCATCTGTTGCAGGTATATGGAAATAATGCTGAAATCCAAGCGCTTTGTGAGATGTATAATCGACCAATCCATATTTTCTCATATGGCACAGGTGCAAATTATGTGTATATTCATATGGTTATAGTTACTGCTCTTGGATAGTGGTTTAGCTACCTTTTTAAAAAGTAGTGCCCAATTGTCTATGCTTATAGTTTGTGATTACTGCACTTTTTGGCGAAGAGGGCAGTATTTTATATTTTTATATTTTTATATTTTTACGTTCTCATGGTTTGTTACTATTATCATTAGTTTTAGTGTTAAATGAAAGTCTTCGGTTTTTTTATACATTTTTTATAATTACCTTTATTATAATGCAGAACCTATTAACATCTTTCATGGAAACTATACTACTGACCTGCCTCCCATTCGGTTGAGTTATCATCATGGCAATCATTACAACTCTCTTGTTGATCCACGGCGCTTAGCAATTGGTGCAGGGCTTGGCTTCAGCAGTCTTCGAGGGGTATGCTTATATTTTAAAGCTCTACATTTCTTCTTTGTTTGTTATAACAACAATTAAGGAAACAGTTAAAGGCTTCCCTGGAAACAGGGAGATCTATAAAACAAGGTGAAAAGATGGCAACCCACCCTATCAAATGGTTTTTAAAATACTTTTTCCAATAAGCCTTCGAAGGGCATAGTATGATATGGCCTGTTCAAGGCATGGTATTGTCAGAGACCAGACAATTCCTTTCTGAGAGAAAAGTATAACCAAGAATTTAAGAAAATTATAGGGTTTTGGTTTTCCTTCCCTTTCTTGTAATTTCATTTTTCAATGAAATTATGTCTTGCAAAAAAGCAAATAATAATAATAATAAATAAACAAACAATCAAAAGAAAATTCTTGACTGCCCTAAACCTTTAAATAAATGTTGTCATTCTGCCCATAGGTCTTAGGGCAAAAGATTTTAGAGACGTAGTTTTGGACCATGAATTTTTAGTCTAAATTTAGTTCCTGAATAGTAGGGTTTAACTTCCTTAATGATTTTTTTGTGTTAAACTCTAACTAGCCATTGTTATTACTATTTTTACTTAAATATTGACCTTACATGCCGTAGTGACTAGCAGGTTTAGGGTGCCGTAGTGACTAGCAGGTATAACATCGCATAAGGGAGTAGTTTAGCTGGATAAATGAGGGTGGAGGGGAGACAAAAAAAGATGGTGGGGCATGAGTGTAATACATTTTAAACTGGATGTTTTACCACTCTATGCGTTTGTATTTTATTTGGTTGGTCTACCACTTTGTGCCATCTTCAGGTCGTGTCGAATCTCACTTATTAATTAGTTAATATGATGTGTTATCCATATATAACTAATATGAATGATAGGAAAATTGTATCGGAATTGAAAGTTCAACACATAAATGGACTTTATAATATCAGTGACTAAATAGATGCAACCGTGATTCATTTTTTAATGCTCAGAGACTAAACTAGAGACTGAATCTGTATTGAACCACAAGAATTTTTTGCTAAGGTCTTGGCAACAAGGATGAGATTGCTGCTGAATTTTTCTAAGGGAGCATTTGGTGCTAGGAAACAAATTTTAGAAGACACATTTTAGATGAGGTTCTCATACTTAATGAGATGAAAGAGGATTACATATGCTTTATACAAAAAAAAGGGGGAGAGAAATGTTATTTTTATGTTGATTTGAGGTATGACATAGGATCCTTTATTCTTTTATTCCTTTTTGTAGTAGATCTTCTTGCCAGACTTAATCTGACAGGCACAAATTCAACGAGTGAAAGGTTTCTTTGTAGAAAGGGACGACCTCTCTGATTTGCCATTTTGTTGATGGTATCATCTTCTTTTGCTCTGTGTCAATCTCAACGAAGATCTGGTTTTAATTTTGACAAGAAGAAATTTTTAGTTTTGACTTCAATTGTGATCTTGGTAAGCTTGAGAGATAAGCTCAGTTGTGGACGGTTGTGAGATTTTATCTTTGTCCATGACATGGGCATTCATTGATATGTAGTCCAAGGGCTTGTTCTTTTTTAGATCCGTGGTTTGGAAGAATTCGATGGTGTTCTCTGCTTGAAAGAAAGCCTCTTTTAAGCTTTTTGAATCCGTAAGGAACTATTTTCACGGGTATTTTCTTCTTCTTTTGAAAATATTTTGAGTGTGAGCAGTTGAGGAGTTGATCCTCCCAGGATTAATGAGTCAGAATATCATATCACTATTTCTTCTACAGATAGAGACTTTTCTGACTGAGTTCTTAAGATTTAGTTTATCCACCAACTGGTTCCTATGGCCAAATTTAACTGAAGAACTTCAATGGATGATCATTCTTTTAAAATACATTTGATGACTATTGTGCATCAGTTGCATTTGATGAACTATTGTGTGTTTTTGAACTTTTTTTCGAACATCTTATGGACCTTAATGTTTTCGGTCTGCAGGCAAATGTTGACAAGGATAAAGTGAAGGCTGCTTTGAAAGCGCAGCAAGATCAACAGATTGACAATGCAAGTATCTTGGACTGTTAAATTTTTAGATCACAGGAGATTTGTGAAGTAAAAGTGATCTTAACATTATTTTACTTTTCTGACTTGACAGTCTCTTCTTGCTCAAGGACGGTATTTCTCAGATCTTGAGGTTACTGAAAAGGAGATAGAACAGATGGTGATGGAAGCTTCGAGAACTGAATATCTCGCTAAATATTCCTCGAAACAGCAATTGGACCGAAGAGACAATTCCTCAACCCCGGGTGCAGAACCATCTTCTTCAGGCGCCAGTACGTATACTCTTCTTATGACTCGTACTTGTTGGAAATGGGAAGTAAAAAACGTTAGCTTTAATGTTAAAAATTTCAGGATCGTCGGGAAGTGAGGGTAACTGTAAGAGAGAAAGCGGCGGGGTGCAGGAGTCGGTTTTAAGCAATGGGATGCAAACAGTGCTTTCGATGGGGTTCGGTTATCTACAGGTGATCGAAGCTTATAGCATATTTGGAGACGATGTGGATTCAATGGTTTGTTATTTGTTGGAAACTGGGGAGAGCAGCAGACGCAAAGGCAAGGCCACAGAATGATGGAGTGAGTAAAAGCAGCAGCCAGCTTTTACGTTAGGACGAACACTACTACCGGTGGAAAAGGGTTGGTCTCTCAATCTCTCTCTAATATTCCAACAACATCATTGGTTTCACTGGGTAAGTGAGAAAGTATTAAAGAGAGAGGCGTGTATGGGAACGAACTTGGATCCTGTTCTGGCATCATCATATATGATAATAAAGCAAACTCTACCCTTTTAATCTCATCTCTATTACACAACCTCTCCTCTATTGGTTTATAAAAAATGTCATTCAAGAAAATTCTCAATGTTTTATGAATATAAAGGGAATTTTTTGTTCTTTCCAAAAAAATTGTTAAAACACTACTGAATCTGTAGCAGTAAAGGGGAAGATTTAATTTTGAACCCAAATTGAGATTTTCCCAAAGAGGTAAAGAGGCTTTGATCTAAATAAACCCTTTTGTGTGCATGGTTGGCTTTTTTTCTTTTTCTTTTTAACTTTTACCTACATGACTTAGGGTTCATATGAACATCTCTAACATGAAGTCAATGTGTTACATACAATTCTTTTTTGAATTATAACAACCATATGCCTTGAAGTGGAGAATGATATGGTACAATTTAGGTTTGAATATTAATTTGATCTAAGTACCTCTTGAGTTCAGCTAAATTTAAGATTAGAAAATAAACTCTCACAAGTTTTGGTGAAGACTTTGGGGAAGTATAGGAGATTCAATTGTTTTATAAAATCATAGTTGTTTTCAATGCTTTGTTGTACGAAGAAAAGTTCACTTAGAATCATCTTACATTGCATCAACACCTAGAAAAAATTGGAAAAACAACCACCAAAACCTACCAAAAAATTTTAGAAAAAATGAGGGCTCCCGATGGTTGAGCTCAATTTTATTATTATTTTGCAAATTCAGGCATGTGACAGTTATCTGAGGGTTCACTCGTTGAGTTGGCTTACTACATGTCTACTATTGTAATGAATAATTAGAGCATAAATCCCAACACACTAACTATTCGATACTTCAAGTAAATTTCTTTTTAAAAAAGGACAGCTACAACAATCTCAAACTAAGCATTAAGAGAGATCCATTTTTAAAGACACCCAAGCAAAAACCATATGATGATTGCAAGTCCAAGCAAGTAATAATTCATCACTGACTTTGAGAAGAATTGCATGATGAAACCTGAAATGTTCTTGTTCAAGAAAGAGCTATAAGAATCAGATAAGACACCAGGAAGCAAGAACAAGAACTAACATATCATTATGATCTAGAAAGTATGGATTCTGGATTGTACCCCATCTGCAAATTGAGAAAAAGGTAAGAGGAATTTGGAAACGAACAAAAGCCTATCACTCTGGAATCATTTTGAACTTGAAATGGAGATATGTGAGATGAAATCATGTATATATTATTTCACATGTCAGTAACTCCATGCTTTCATACTGAAAGTCAAGGATTTGATAAAGCTGAATAATTAACAAAATATCAAACTAATGACTAGGTGAAGTTAATTTCAAAGCCATCAGGCAACTGTGAAATAATAATGATAAATAACATCAATATATTCTGAGAGATTTTCAGAACTGTTCGAACTGAATCTATTGCCTGTCTCTAACATCAACCGAGCAAGAAAATAATAGACACCAACAAATTCTAAGGAAAAAATCATTGCCCAAAGTGGAAACCACAAATGAGGGTTAAACAGTGCAAATTTAAATGAGAGAAAACGAAAAATTATCGCACCTCGAGAGTTCTCATAACAATATGTCACAGATGATATGACTGAAGGATGTCAAAAAGAAGAAAGAGAGAATCCTGAGAGGAATGCCACATAAAATCTTCAGTTCCTCGAGCTCTTATGCCACATTGGACCCCATCGTAAGGCCTGTCTAATCTAGATGGGAAAAAATTCGGGTGGCAATGATGCAAATCCAAGCATCAAAATCTACTGCAGTCATCAAGCTGTTTTTACTTTTCGGGAAGGAGGGCGTCTAAATAGACCAATCAGATCGTCGAGACCCTATGGAACAGAAACATTTTGTGAGTTTGTACTATTGGAAGGGTGAGAAGTACAAATTTCTTTTAAATAAAACACTTCAAGAGTGTTTCCAAGGAGCAAAACAAATATTTTACTTACAAACACTATTCTCACAGTTCATCTCAAACTCAAAATGTGCTTATGAGTGCTTTTAAATAAGTATTTTTGACAAAGGTGCTAATTAACAAATCAGATTTAACATTTGTTTTATACTCTTTTGTGTAATTCACAATCAAGCACTTGAGCCAAAACACTAAAGTATTTTCTCGCAAGACTTCTTCCAAAACTATTTTTATGTTTCCAATGAGCCTGTTTGGAAGGACCTTTTCAAGTACTAAAAACTTTTTAGGCACTTGAAAATTCAGTCCAAACTGAATATACGATCATTTTGAGTGACAATTGCTTGTAATCAAATGTCCTCAGAGCCTTTTTCATCTCATAGACATTTATCTATTTTATTCAAGATTAAGGAATTCTATATCATGAGGGATAACTTTGTGAAGTCGATAAAGTAAATAATACAACTTACCCTGGTTGTGATCACAAGGAAACAGAAGAGTAAAACTAAATACGATCCCAAGACCAAAAGCAAAACCAAGTCGAATGTCACGCTAGCAACCTGAAACAACGAACATAAAGCTTGCTTAGATCCAAGCCAAGAAAGAACCCAAGGATAAACATAACCACCAATCTAGAATCAGCTAACACGAATATAGAAAATAATGTTGTACAAAACTAAAATAAATGGAGCTTTATTTTCAGATGGAGCAAGTAGAGAGTCAAGTTCACAATTGATCTGCGAAGTACCTGGTATACGTGAAGTTTAGCTGCAGTTGAATCATAAAAGGTGAACACCCCGTCAAATGGCTCATGTTGCAAGCTCACATCATGGGTATGGACCTCCAGTTCCTGAAAAGAGTAGAAACATATCATTGGACGAGGCCTGGGAGGTGACTTCAATTAGTAACCTAAAGCATTCGTATGAGTCAGCCCAGCCAAACTAACCAACCACTAAAATAGTGCGTCTGCGTAAATGGTTTTCATGCTTTTGTAACAGACAAACATCCAAGGAAAATATGGATTAGCACTGACCGTAGTAGTTCCACCATATAAGAAATAGTAGATTTTATCAACCTAATTTAAAAAAGAGAGCTGCAATTTCTCAAAAATTCAGAATTTTTTAGCACGTCAAGTATGTTTCAGAGCAATATTTTCAGGTTGAGCTAAATGGAAGGGAACAATAATGGTAACAACTGACAATTTTGTTTTATGATATAAATTTTTCTGATGCCAGTGAGATGGAAGGAACAATCTTTTCAGATCAACTTTTTTTTCCTTTTGAAATTGCCAATCAATCTTTGGGCGAATACAATATATAAAGATAAATGAAAGATGGTATCAATTGGCACAATTTTGTTTATGATATAAAACCTTTTTTAATGCCGATATGAAAGGGTCATCTTTCGACAGAAATGGAGCAACTCGAGGCGTCCGTGACAAAAGATCCAACCATGATCGAATATAAGTTGGATTGACTGCCAAACTACTATCATCTGCAAATACTTGTATATTCTTTCCTTCATATCTGTAAATATGCCTCTGCATAAAATACAACGAATTATGCATTGGAGAATTCTGAAAAAAATATATATATATATATAAAATAATACCACGGACATTCTGAACCATTTACAATTTGAAACCAATAATGAATGTCATCCATACTTGTGCACTCTCCACTTATAAATAACAGTAGAAGCTAAGTGTCATATTTAAACATTCTGAACTTGTGAATTCTCAATTACCAAAAACAAACACTTGCAGCTGGAAAAGGGAAAAGGGAAAAGGTTGTGATGGCAGAAAAAGTATGGCTAAGCAAGACATAGTAAAACTTACTGCAAGACTCTCTGCGACTAACTTGATACTCTTGGCAATTGCACTCTCGTTCAAAAACAATCTATTGGAAGTTACGGTCTTGTCAGAATATACACATCACACATTTCTGCATGAATATACATACTCGCACACATGCAAACATAGAAGTGAAACAGAACCAGGAAACTGATCAATTTCTTAAAATTAGAACCTGTTGTCAGCTAAACCTCCAGTCCTTTCCAAAAGCTCAGGAGCAGCGGAGATTCCAGAAAGGGTAGCAGCAGTTACTCTCAATCTTGAAAACTGTTCGTGCTCCCAGGCTACCTACAGCATACAAAGGATTTATCGAGTGGGCTACGATAATCACAAAATAAAAGTAAAAATCATATACTATGCTAAGGGAACCAAGAACAGTCTTTTTTTTTAAAAAAAAAAAAAAAAATTATTAAATAACACACATCATGATGAAAAATGTGATGATGGAGATGTACACTAGATCAATTTGAGAACAAGCAAAAATCTTCGGCTCTTTCTGATTTGTCCTCTCCCGCCCCCTGAATAAAAAGGAAAAAGAAAAGACCGTATCCACTTTCCTACTAAATGTTGCTATTATCCTAGAAACATCTTTTTCTTGGAGAATACACCAAAGGATACAATAACTAAAAGAACTCAGGGTTGGTTTGGGTTATTAACTAATTTTAAGCTAAGAAGCATGCACACTTACTTTAGTTTGAGCTATATATTACCCTAGCCACAAGATAATAATGCAAGTCCACATTGTCAAAACAACCAAACATAGTAATACAATGATTCCTATATTTAGAATCACAATTACAAATTTCATTTTTCATTGAGTATCTTGTACGATACTGATACCCTAGTCATCAAATTTCCACTAATATTCTCACTCTTTTACCAATGACAATGGAACCAGAGCCAACGTCCAAGTTCAACAAACCACTCAGTGGGCAAGATCTCAACTCAAGTTACCAGAAGGTCTGGTGTGATTGTTTATAAATCCTGATATCAAAAAGAGTGTCAACTCAGGTTAATAATGTTAAACTATACTATAGATGTATTAGAAGCTAATAAACGTAGGAAAGCTGGGGAGTTTCATAAAGACGATTTAGTCATGGTTCACCACCTATGCAAGAACTCTAGTAAGAGACAACAAAGTGAGATGGTTTTGGGACTTACCTATCCAAGAATTGACAACCTATTGGGATATCTACACAAGTTGAAGAAAGAAGGTTGGACCATATAAGATACTCAAAAGAGTGGGATCTAATACATAGGTTCTTGAATTTCTAGATGTTTTACATACCTCCAAGGCTTCTAATCTTTCTAATATTATTTTTGGTAAAAGAAAATATTAAAATAAAGACTCGAGCACAACATGCATTTGAGTGCAATAGCATGAAATGAAGCACACAAAAATAGGAAAATAATTTTTTTTAAATATGTTAGAAAATAAAGAAAAAAATAGAAATTTTACATGTGAAGAAATGGGGGACAAAGATTAAAAAGAAAATTTCAAAATCTAAGGCCACAAGTTCCAGAACATGGAGAGTATCATCCGAACATAAAGCTGCAATCCTAAACTTAAGAATGAGTTTTTCTTAAGGGACCAATAAATGTGCGGTACTTATTATTTTTAGTTGTTTACTTGACCATTATTAACTCTGTTATTTTAGCGTTAGGTGGTTTGTTATTTTCTGTTAGTTACTGTTAGTAGCTAAAAGTAAGACCAAAACATAAAAATACCTACGCAATCATTTTACTGAATAATTATTTTTTTAATAAAATTCCAGTCTGATTTGTTAAAGAGTTCTGCATCAATCAGAAGCCAAAAACAAGGTACGGAAAGGCAGGAGAGTTTTTCTCCAGATATTGCAGTCACAAAGCATCTATAGTTTTTTTGTATCATAATCAACATGCAGACTAATAGGCTTACTTAAACCACCCATTAGATTTGCATGCACACATAGAAAGAAAGGTGGGGAAGCACAAGGCACAGAGTAAATGAACGTGAGTATTTTGTTAAGAGGATAGAGTGGGTATGGGACACCCTCGGTTTGATATTAAAGGAAGATTCTAGGGCAATGTATGTGTAACAGATAGGTGGGAGTTAGGCTTGTTCTGGGGTGAGAATGAACCTTTCAAACCGTCCTGTCTTCTTTTTCCTCTTTCTATTTCAGTAATATTTCTATATAACGTTTTAGATTGTAGATCAATTTTCAAAAGAAATAATTGAATTCCATAATATTCTTTTCAGTGAAAACTAATTTTCTGTCAAAAAAAAAAAAAGAAAAGAAAAGAAAAGAATTCAGGTGAATGCTCACTCGAGGATTTGAAATATTAATCTTCTTGTGCTTCAGATCAACTTTGAAGCCCAAATCCTCGGCGACATTTGAGAAATCCTACAGAGAGCCCAGGTCATCCACAATAAACCGTTACAATAAATAACACCGTATTAAGACAATAACATTTTTTTTTTTTTTTTATTTACACAAGACAAAACATTTTAAGAATACATTTGCTTACTTCAAATATTTGCTTTATGTAAGCATTTTCTGGAGGCTTGGAGACATGCAGCCATAATTTGTCATCCCATGAGCCAATACTATTTAAGCAAATGGCATAGTCAATACTCTCACGGATACGGTGATCAAAGCTTTGAAGCCACTGGGAAAACGATACTTTACATTAATGGACAACAAATAGAAACAATTATAAAAAAATAATAATAATCGAAATGAAGAAGTTTAACTAAATGGATTACATTGTAATGATAGAAAGAAATAATAATTATGATGATTGTATGTACATATAAAGAATGAGAACCTTGTGAGTCCCATTGTAGTTGTAAGGTCCGCCAGAAGTGAGCCCAAAAAGTAGATTGTACCTTCCTCGTGTCTTAGGACTGGAATAAAGAAGAGAAAATAACCTTGCAATTTCAAGAAGTGCAACAATTCCACTTCCGTTGCTATCACTTCCCACAGATAATTCCTACAACCAGAGAGAAGATCCACATCATCTAGATAAAATATAGATAAGTATGGTAGATAATGTTAGTGCACTAAACAAATCACATACAGGAGAAGCGCCAAATGTATCATATGATGCTACAATTGCAATTGTTGGGAGTTGACTAGCATCTCCATCAAATTTTAGTCCAGGCAGCCAACCCTGACACCAATTTCAAAATAAATAAATACAAAGATGAAAAAAACGATGCAACACTAAAAAAAAGAATTAAACAAAAATGAGGGGAGAACAAAGCTAATCACAGCACCTCAATAACAGAATACAAACTACACAAATACACCAACCAGGGAAATGGTAAATTATATGGAAAATACACAATTAACAGTTTGACACCGTTGTATTTTTTGACACATAACCTCTCGCTTGACCTTTCTCCATCTTGACTCCTCTAATCACGTGAAATTTTCAATTTAGTTTAACAGATATATCTGATAGAGCGGTCAAATAGACTGAAAGGTATAGGGGACCCAAACCAAAGCTAGGGACTCGGAAGATTACAAAAAGATTTCCAAAAAATCAATAACACATTAAGAGGGTAACTACAAACACATGGGTACTAAAAAGTCAAAGAGACATAGACACAAAATTTCATATTTTTCACATTCCTAAATTAACCCAAAAATTTAAAATAAATAAAGAGCATGTTGGCCTGATGAGAGTGAAACTTCCATTGATCTTCCACATTTACTTCTAAGTTCCACCCCTCTTTCAGATACGCATAGATACTATCCCTACGCTTTTCTAATGTGGTATGGATACCCAAGACTCCAGAAGTATTTTTTTTTTTTCCTTTGTCCTGGATTGTTTCAAATGTTTCAAGATGGGTTTTGGTTTTAGCAAGAATCTACAAAATTAATGTTTGTCTGATGAATGTTCGCTTTTTAAAGCTTAGATAATAATTGTCTAAACTTTCTTCTTTTTTTTTTTTTTTTTTTTTTTTT